AGTCTGTTTGGAGCTAGTCCTCTGTCGAGGAATGTAAGTTTTAAAGGTTTTCTTTTAGCAGTTGTTTTTTCATGAGCCAAAAACTGGACGACTGATTTTTTCTAAATTTGCTAGTTTTGCTGAATGTTTGCTTCAAAAAATAAATTTATTTGTTTTATGTATGTAAACTGTTTGAACAGGAATATTATAGAAACCCTGGCTGGAACTCACCAGGCTTGCCGATGCGATCACGCGTTTTTACACTAAACTCACATGTCGCTAATAGCAGGAATGATCTCTGGATGTAGTCTAACACTGAGGCGCATCTTGGCCATGCCAAAATTTCAGCCTCCCAGCTTTCCTAGTTGCCGAGATGAAAGTAGCTGACAAAATGTACACGCTTCCGAACATACACACACACACACACATCAATATGCGTTTTTGTAAAGCGAGCAAAAGGTGGCGCGCAGGAGAAGCAAGGAGCAATCCAGAAACGCGCAGCAGTTTGACTCGTGATCTGTTCCGCCCTTTTTGATAAGTATTTAAGCTGGTGAATTTGTTGTAAGATTGAGTGTATATGTTTCGTCTCAACGTTATCGTCGGGTGCGTCTTCCGTGTATCGTCGTGTATCCCCTAGTGTTCAACGTTATCGTCCCGTGTCTTCAGTATTCCGGATCGCTGGCATTCAGTGTGCCCTACGTTTCGCGTCCGGAGGTCCAGTGCAGCAGTGTGGTGCTGCAATTCCGTTATTAGCACACTTCGTTCGCAGCGGCTGTCGCTGCGATCGCCCAACTTAATCCCTTCACCCCAACGAAGCCTTGTAAACTTGTGTTTGTGTTAATAAAGTTTGTTTGTTGACTCCAATCTGCTCACTACACGCCACAGTACATCAGCATTTGTCCAGCTCGACTGAAACTCGTCGCACCATCCTCGTCATCATCGTCGTGCTCCTCATAACATTCTTGCTGGCTGTAGCAGCGCTATGGCGCTGCACAGCAAAAACGTATAAAAAACCACAAGATTGCTTTTGTTTGCCTTTTATTTCAGGATCCCAACACCAAGTGAATTGGACGAAGTTATGGAGGGTCTGGAAAGCGCGGGTTGGTTGGTGAATAAACACCGGCTGGTATTCGATCACTGGACTTATTCAGAAAAATAATCAGCATATCCATAAAATGCGGCTTGGATCACATTGCGATCACGAAGTTGGGTTGCGCAATATCTTAGCTTGTCGGTTTTTCAATTGAAGCCGAGAATTATTGCAAAGCATGTTCGTGTTCCTTCAAATTAGGATACGTATGAAATTTTTTACTTAATTTTCATTCCAGCGATTGACCCACTGTTGTAGTTTTATTTGAATCTGCTTTTTTTCCTTT